ATGGCTGAACGATGACGTTCATCAGCCGAATTTGCAATGACACCTTCCAGGACCAACCTGTCAGCACTTAATGCCGCAGTTGCTTGCCACGGCCGTCCGTTGCAACATAACCTTAAGCAATGCGTGTACGGTAATTTTTAGTATGTTGCACATTGTACGTACGAAAGACCTTAGCATCTGGAATGCTAGGCTGAATGAGTTATACAGTAACACGTCTGTTTTCGTGTCCTGGTCTGGAAAAATTAAATTTACCTGCTAAGTGAATAGGTGGTTTTAAGTGAGTCTTTTCAGAAAGCGTGACAACTGATTTTTTCCCATCTTCCCTCCAAAGTAGTATTACTAATCATTTGGTTGGCAAAACAATACACCAGTCGAAATCGTCAGATTCATCAGAGAGCACGAATAAAAGTTTAACGCTGAATGACGGAAATCGTTTAGCGAAGCACGTTACTACCCTTTTCATACAGAAATGTCGTTGGAAAGCACTTACAGTTCACATCTGTGCTGAAGTAATCCCAGCTTGTGCAAATTTTGTTTCAGCTTGGAGAGTATGCCGAAAGTTTTCGAGCCGTGAAAGAAGCTCTGCGTCTGTTTCCCGGACATCAGCCATCAAAACATCTCGAAGAACGACTCAACGACCTGTTCCTAAAAATCTGAGGCCAAAATTTAAATAATGCTGGTCTGTTAATTTGCGATTTTAATAATTCATCCAAAAATGTTCGGCTACTTCACTTCCGTCCAAAAGGCACAGAAACGACAGTGTCGAGAATAGCTGAAAAACCTCAGGAAGAATGGCTTCGGTTTTCTTTAGCTTTAATTTTTTGTTTCTCTTTGACTGTCATTTAAGAAGAGCGCATCAAAATAAATTTTCTTGACGTTGCATGTTCTTCGGATGTATTGTGTTGAAGTGAAAGAATTTTTTTTAAGAAAGTTCTTTGAATCGTTTCTTTTTAATGTTTAGGAAGCCAATTAAAATTTAATGTTATTAAAATGTGTATTTTAATGTCCCCAAGTTTGCATCGAGATATGTCCGTTTTTCAGCAGTAATATCTCTTCGTTTTCCACCCATTGGTTTAGGCAACAGTTTATTAGCACAAGTTTAAATGAACGCTAGAAGATGCGAAATTCACCTGGCACTGCAGAAGCTCAACGACAATGGAGTTGTGATCTGCTAAAATGCTTACAAGCAACCAGGAGTGCAGTAGACTGTAAAATCTGCCCTAGGAGAAGCTATGCGTTGTTTCAGTTTACAAAGACAATGGAAAATCTTTCATTCTCCAACGTCATTTTGTCAGGAGTAAAATACGCTAATGCGAAATTTTGATATTACCAAAAATAGTTATGCAACATTTGGGGAATAGCATTCCATCCCCCATTAATCCTTTCTTTAATAGGTCCACCGATGACCTTCCAACTGTCACTCACGTGTATCTGACGTAGCAACATTGACTAAGTTTTCTATCTTATCTCTTTTTTCGTCGATTTCGAGCAACCTCGAAATTTCACACTTGTCCTAACAATACATAATTGCTAGGTCGCCTCACAAATATTCAATGAACGGAACTCACAACTTAAGCTGCTTAAACAGTACGTACTTCACTAATAATTTTTCCAATTTTCATATGTAGTGTGGAAGCAAACAACAGTTCGATGCCTGCACTGGATGGCCGATTCCTGCTTACTCACGGGGACACTTTACTTATAAATCTGTCACGAGGTAACAAGGCAAAGCGTGCAGACCGCCTTCATCGCTTTTACTCAAAAGACACGTGTACAGCGCCTAATAACGATCAAACGCAGGTCGAAAGAAAAACAACGATCCGCGTTTAAGTACGAACGAAAAGAAGAAACACGCTTATTCACACCACACTATTCTGCGGTTAACACTATCGACAGTAACAGCGGTGACCTCAAGGCATAATGGTTCGTTCCCCAAGGGCAGGAAACTGGAAAACTTCGCGATGCGTCGTCATCGCCGTCACTGTCACGATGGTCGTTTTGTCGTGTCGCTTATCACGTGACCATCAGCTGGTCCTCGTACTGCTTCAGGAAACACTCGCCAACTGGGAAGAAATCCCAACAGCGTTTCTCGTAAAACTCATAGACGTATGATTCTTGGCCCGTGTACTCGGTTTCGTCCTTGTTTATGAGATGCATGAGGAAAAATCTATAAACAGCAAGTCAGAGGTAGACAAGCAGAAAAGCCAACGGATAAATCCCACTTACAGATAGTTCGCCAGATTGTGTTCTTTCTCAGTGTGCTGTTCGAATCCACGAGGCAGTCGCTCAAAGAAGTCCTTGCCAATGTCGCAAATGAAACAGTTTGACTAGAAAGTACAAGTGCATGAACGAAACGCACTCATAGACACAGGCACCGTCGATTACCTCCAGTTTGTCCTGTGCTGACTCTTGCTGATCTCTCAACTCGCCAAAGGCGTCGATGATCAAACCTAAAACAACGATAATGATCAAGTAACTTGAATTCTTAATCAAAATTATGCGATTCTGCTCCTCGCTGAAAAGGTTTCCGATTCACGGTATGGAATGAATTCAGAAAGGCTGAAATGGTACATTCAAAGAGAAACGACGTAGCAGGTTCCAAATGAGCCTCGGTTCTTCCTTCAACTGGTTTCTTCTATTAGTCTATGTACACGTGCTAGCACCATCTTAGTCATAGCCGTAAATTTCTGAATATTCAGTGAAAGAGTGCAAAGTAGGATACCTGTGACCTAAACAAGGATTGAAGGATTGATTTGTGAGCTTTTCTTTTTGCAGCTTGAAAAATGTGAAAATATTCTTATCACTTGAAGGCTGTTGACCGTTCTTACAAGGTCACTGTCATCAAAGAATGCACAGCTATAAAACATAAGCTTAGGTGCTTTTAATGACTATTTCTTCTAATAGTTCAATTTAAAAATGGCGCCTCCACTGGCATGAACTTGAAGATACTTGCTAATTACGTCACTGATGTGATTTTAATACGAGTGAAAATATATAGCGCATAACTTCCCCAGACCAGGTTTAGCGGTGTATTGAACCGCCTCTTGCTGCTAGTCAGCCAGAAGGGGAGATGTGATCAGACAGTGGCCTCATGCCATTTGAGTGCCATATTCATCAAAGGAGGAAAGAATGCGCGAATAAATGAGTGAGTTAATGAGTGCATAAATGAATGAATCGGTGAAGAAAGGATTGGTTGCAAGAAAGAACGAAGGAATGAACGAACGAAGGAGTGAACGAATAGATGGATGAAGCAAGGAATAGGACTGAGGAGTCATAAGTCGAATGCAGTTTATAAATTCATGGAATGAGCAGCCAAAAATCCAGTGGGTAGGAGTATTGAAACCACTGCATTGAAGGACAAAAGTTTGCTGAAACTTTTCCAATGAAGGAAAACAGCTGCAATAGCACAATGTAACAAAGCTGCCGTCTCAATGATTGAAAAGGAAAAGAATATTTTGATAGTGACTATAATGGAATGAATGAATCAGGGAACGAACGAAGCAAAGAATGAAAAAAAATTCAATAAATGAACGAATTAATGAACAAACAAAAAAATCTGTAAATGGATGGCGGAGTGAAAATTCACAAAAGCGCAGGCTATTTCGATGCGGGTACTTAATTTTTAAATCATTGAGTATGGCCATGCTAAAGACGGCATTTGAAGAGCGGAGTTACTTTACCGAACGCTCAAAACTGTGGAAGTATGCAGTCGAAATCTGACGATCCTACGTTGCCACTGAGAAAACACTGTGTTCCATAAGTTCCAATGAAAAAACGTCTTGAATCAATTGAAACGAAGCAAGTTTGACATATAATAAAATGGGCGATTAATCCGTGTGCGTTATTAAAATCAAAACAAAACTTAGCTAACATAATTCAGAGAGGCGTCGAAAAATCCATAACAGTAGGTTAATGAAGAAGATCAAGTAGCTTTTGTCAGAAAATGACTAGAAATAATATTCTACAATAATTCTGATTTAAATCATGATCATGTAAAATAGTGGAATGAGTAGTCATGCAGGAAAATATTTACAGCTTCTCACCCTTAACAAGACAGCAAGTATATAGGAAAACATAGAGCAAAATTGCTTATTACATCGGTTTCTTTCAGAACCCGATTTATAAGTGTATCACTATGCAACGATCTTCGATTCAGTACTCATTTCTGAAGTTACCTTGCATAATGGCCAGCAGGATAATGATAATAGAAAAGTGAAAGGTCATATCGAAGAGGATCCTCCACGCTTCGCCTTCATCGCCGTATGGAGACTGAAGCTCGTCACCGATGCCTCCACCTGCCCTGATTCCCGCGTATACGTTGAATACAAAGCACTGAAACAAGCACAGTTGTTTAAATAGGTCGGCGCAAGGCCGGCTTCAGACTCTAATGATGACGACATACCGATATCATGTTGTTACATTTCGAATCGCCCTCTTCTTCGTCTTCGAGCACGTACGATTTCCGGAAGAAGTTGAAAGCCAAGACGGTGTAGAAGTAAACCACCACAAGCACCATCATAACGGTTAAAACTAACTAAAACAAATTAAATTAACCCAAGACATTAAAATGATCGATAGGACTGTTGCCATGCCTGTTTGCCGTTATGCGTGACTGATTTCAAGATCGTCTGAAGCATCGGAAACGAAATAACCACATCTATCAGATGGCCAGCGTAGAAAAAAGGATTCCATATACCAATGGCAGAGAAGAGCAAGTACATGAACAGATATTGAAAAGACTAGAACATCATAGCGATTATCAACAGACTTCCACCGACAATAGCAGTCCAAACCCCATCTGTCACAATGACACCGACTTTCCAGCAGTTGTATCGCCAATCGACGCTGCGAATGCTAAAGGGGTGGCTTTAATACACTCGTGTTACCAGTCAATCATAACAAACGTTTACCCAGATTCCGACAGATCTACATCAGTTTTGTCCAGGCCGAGGATTCTGTTCAAGTCGTTCTCATCAAACTGGTCCTTGAACTTGTCCTTCACTTTCTTCTTCACAAACTTATCCCAGTAGTTTTGCGGAAATGACCTGAAACAGAACAAATTTATCAAATCATTTATGTAAAGCAATTCCATTAAATAATGATGAATTCTGTGTGTAAGGACAGTGATGGACATGTACCACTAAAAAGTGATTTCAGCAATTACCACAATTTGTCTAGCAGCTATTTTACGCTAAATGGTGGCATCTCGTCGGTCGTTTTGCGTAGTCAAATACGATGCTGATGACTGGTTATGGAAGGAAGATATCCATGCTGTTGTACACATTGCTTCACAGTCGTATAAATCATTGGACAGAAGAACGAGGTGTGCGAGCTTGAGACAAGAAAGTGCTGGGAAACTTCAAGAACGCCGAATAAAATGAGGTAGTATGCGTTTCAATCAGAATATCATTACAATGCTACAGGACGACGTTGCTAGTAAATTTGCTATAATGCATAAGATTTGACTGGATTTTAATTACTTCCCAA